CCTTGACAATGTACGGCACCATGGTCTCTTTAGCCTACGTGGCCGCAGGTGTTTAAGGGATACGAAAAAGGGGGAATTTCAAAATTTCAATTGGCCCCCTTGGAGGATCCCCAATCTCGTCCGCCCAACCTAATATTATTTCACTCCTTATTCTGCCGCAGAAAATCTGGTCTAAGAAAACGTTTCATAGTTTGACTAATGTTAACGAGAAAAATTGCCTCTGTAGTATACAAAAGCGAGCAAGAAACGGCCATTCACGAAGCGAGGACGTGGGACCCACGTTTGCTCGCGCGCGATTTGCTCACCGCGACTCAAGCAACAAGAATGAGAAAACCAGTCAAATAAATATCCTTTCCTGGGAGGTTTTTGACCCTCACTTAGATTAAACTGAGATCTTTTTAAAAGGAAAAATAAAAATTTGCCGGACTTACCTGTCAAGAAGACGCATCCACCAGTCAAATTAAAACGACTTCTTAGATAAACTTCCACGTGTTTTAACTCGGCAAAGAAGTTGTCCAAGTTCTTTGCCCTGCGTAAAGCGTATACCTTCTCGGACCATTGTGAACGCCATTATTTTTTCCAGTTGTAGCAGCGGTTGACATGAAGGATGATCTTTGCCCAAGACCAGTCGTAACACAACTCTCGCGTTCAGGTATTCGGTCGCCATGTTTTTTTCTTCGTGGAAAAGGTGATGAAAAAGCAAACTAATTGAATATTTATTTGGGTTCATCTGAAATTCAAAGCAAAGTTCCTTTCGTTTCCGTTGCCAAAGGGCACACCTCCTAAAAATAATAATAATAATAATAATAATAAATAATAAAACAATAAGAAGAAGAATAAAATAAGAAATAAAGAAAAAATAAAAAAATAATGCTTCACTGAGATAGTTTCTTCAATTGCATTTCAACTTTTCAACTTAAAACACATGTCATGATCAATGAAAAGTAACGCGCTTACAAAAAAGACCAAAACTAAGTCATAATTTACAAAATGATACTTTCTCAAGTTTGGCCAGACTCTGAGAATCAAAGGAGAATATTTTGATTGGCCTTGACCATCGATTGACCATCTCGCACGTGTTTGGCAACAAATGCAGTTTCCAGGGCTCGTCCTCCTTCCACAGGACAGAGGCTGATCCAGGGGGAGGGTTGAGGGGGTTGCAACCCTCCCTTTGGGAAGTTTTCAAGCTTGTCTGGCTATGACTATCCCTTTTTAATGCCAGAAACAATATTATAAGTTATAATGTTAGTTCTAGTCATATCGATTGTTACAAGAACACTGTAGCTATTCCTCTTCTTGACTCCTTGATCATGCAAATGCGAGGTCGATTTTCTGACGAAGATCGCCAAGCTCGCCATCTGCTTTGTGTCGTGCCATCGATTATAGCAAGTAAGGCACTACAGCTGGATGATGAAGTAGAAGGCATGCTGTCCTCGGAGAAAGATCATATTCCATTTCTCAAATCCCTTGGAAATTAGGTACTAAGTAGATGGAAAACACTCTGGCAGTCAACAGATAGGGAGCTTCCAAACAACCTTATATTAGCACCGGCCTGGTGTTTGCGATGAAGATGCTGTTCCAAACATCTGTCGCCTTCTAGTCATTGCCTGCACCCTACCGATCACAAACGCAGAAGCTGAGCCGTCGTTTTCACCTGAAATGAATCAAGACCTGTTCTAGGTCAACAACGCCTGAAGAGCGATTCTCTGATCTCGCAGTAGATCGCCATATACTACTCCGAGAGATGCGAGAGAAGACGAGATATGCCAGCAAGTCTTTGTAAAGGCTCATCCAAGAAGGCTCTTTCAAGCTAGTCTGTTTGACAAACAACTATCGTTGTTGCACTGTACTTTTAGTGCAATAGTGTCTCAAATTTGACAAATTTATACCTCTTCAATCAAAATATCGAAAATCTACGTATTCAAACATTGCCCTCCAACTCCCCCTCCCCCACTCCCTGGCCCCGGGACGTTTGCCTTGAACTCTCATTCTTACAACCCCCTATTTGAAAAAATCCTGGACCCGCCCTTGCAGGGTTAAAGCGCCTGCCACACCCACACCTTTTGCCCCTCTTTTCTATCACCAGTAGATGACAAAAAAGGCTAAGAAAAGCCTAAGAGTACGTTTAAAAAAAAAAAAACTCAATCAAATAAACAGAAAACAACATCAGTATGATATTCTCGATTAGACTGACACTTGATTCTTATATTTTGAAAACAACAACTGCGAAACTCAGGTCGAAAACAAAAGAGGTTATCGTACGATTCTTGAACAAACCAATCGTACAACATTTAATACCACAACATACGGGCGTGTCAAAACCAATCTTCATTAATTTGAAGAAAGTACATATCAAATTTCTGGCATTCATATGTAAAGTAATAACGGGACGTTAAACAGGGTTCAGTCAAAACTCCGTTCAGCAGCAAGATATCCACGGGAAGCAAAAAGTCTCCAGAAATAGCCAACTTCTTACCCGAATGGTTTTTGTGACTAAAGCAGATAGTTTGAATTAAATAGAGTTTTGCCTCGGAGCCCGTTAATGTTAGATCTGTCTCCCTGACTATAGGATCCGTTAGAGAGCTTTGGCTATAATGATGACGATAATCCCGGGCGGGAACATACACTGAAGGAAAACGTACAGCGACAGTTTCTCAAGCAAATCAGTTGGCAAATGAGCAGAGAAAAACTATCCGAAATATTTCTTGCGGATCAAAATAGTATGGCTCCACTTATATTTAGTGAAGATACAATAAGAATTAAACGACAAGAAAAGAGACTTGGTAGGCGTGGCTTGACAAATGGGCCATTTCCAATTCCGAGTTTCAAAAACTTTCACTTTAAAGAAGAGGCTAAATGCAAATCGATCCTTTCTTTTAAAAACGAGTTTCATTTGCGTGAGAATTACAAAAAAAAATTATCTCATTGGCTTTGCACTTAGTCAGCCTCGCTTTGAAACAGAGGCTTCAGGGAACTCGGAAATGACCTAGCCTCCCACGCAGATGTTCTTAGGAGTTCGTCACGCGTTCCTGCCCCACGAACGTCTGCTGACTTAAGCGGAAAAAAACGTAGACCAATCACAGCAGACGTTCGTGGGGCAGGAACGCGTGACGAACCCCCAAGAACGTCTGCGTGGGAGGCTAGAAATGACCCACTGACGTTTGCCATTATGGCGTAGCCTGCATAACAGGCGCTTTATAAGCCAAGCGAGGCGAAAGCGGTATTTTGCGCGAGGGGCGAAACGAGTGCGAAGCACGAGACGAGGGGAGGAGAAAAAGCTGATGGAAAGGAGGAAAATGAAAGGGAGTCTTCCCTCTCTCCTCCTTCCCATCAGCACTCATGCTCCCCTTGACCGCCCCTCTTTCGTTAATACGAGAGGTTACAAATTGTAAGCCAAGTGCTGCGAGTCGATACTTGGTAGTACATCATCCTTCATCACAACGTATTTGAATCAGGTGTAGAAACAACAAGAAAAAAGTTCCATTTTTAAGTCAGGGCTGTATATTATTTCAACCAATCCTAAAATGCAACCACCTAACCCCCGATGACTCTGCCAAAATGATATAACATGAGAGTATAAGGTGACTACTTTTTAAACAATCTTTTATCTATTACCTGTGAGGAACGAAAAAATAAATAATAATTTCTTTATTTATCCTTAGCTGTATTTACAGCACTTATGCTAGTGGGGCCAACCAAATGACTGAAACATATAATTCAAATCAAACATAACAGGGGTAAGAATCCCAACTGTCCAGAGGCAAACTAGCTGGCTATTTACAAGCAGCGTCGAGGATTTCGGGACTACCGTGAACAAATCCAGCAGGCAGTCAGTCGGGGCCTTTGAAATGCATCATGGATGAGAGGACAATAGACACGCCCTCTTTACAATATATCTTAACATGTTTAACAGTAGCATACAAAGACACCAGTGGCAGTCCCTATTAGTCTATTTATGAGCTTACTGTACCCGCCAAACCCATGACATGAATGATGTGTGAAGGTTGGCCACACGTCCACCGGGGTATGTGTCCTGTACTCTTTTTGAACAGTGGTAAGGGGTCTCTGACATTCCATGACCAGCAGAGCTGTGAGACCGGACCAACGGTTTTTCATCTTTATCCTAGAGGACTGCAGATGTCATAACAAATACAGCACTAATTTCTTCTCAGTTATTTAAAGACTCTGAGTGTTGGTCTGGCTGGGGTTTGAACCCACAACCTCTCGCTCAGCAGACAGGTGCTCTCCCAACTGAGCTAACAAAGCAGTGGCTAAACATTTCATCCAACAGCTATGAAGCTTTAGTGTTGGCCCATGCTACTCTGCTAGTAAGATTTAAACAAGTATTGCCTCATAATTTCCCCCTATTTTTGCAGGCTTGTCACCCTTTTAGAACCCCCACTTAATTCCCTTTCCTCTACCGCCCCCTGTGCCCCTCCCATGTCCTATTCTCCTGGGCTGCCACCCCAATGTTCTCCTTCACTAATAACCCACAACATTCTTTTTAAAGATAAACACCTGCTAGAATTTAAAAGGTCATTTTACACCTTAAAAAATCTGGTGACAAAAAAACCTGGATCAGATCAACCCTGCAAATCACTACATTGTAAATACAACAAAAGGGTTTGAATAGGGTTAGAGGGGATGATATGATTCAGGTATCATAAAGACCAGAATTTTAATAGTGTACAATGCCCTTTGAAATAACTAGATAGTTTCTTTCTTTTTAAAATAATACAAACAGTTCTATTAGATGATTTTTCTTAAATTGATATGTTGAAGGATTACTAAACAATAAACACTTGAAGGAACACGTTCATTTGTTTTATTCCAAACTTAAACAGTTTTGTACAGGCAAAATGGGCCTTTATAAAAACAAGTAAAAGCAACGTTTGGCAACATCATTCTTAGCTTATTTCCTGCTGCAACTTCCAGGCTATTTTAAGTTCATGTTTCTTGAAATATGATGACCATGTAAGGCACTACTAGACTGTTACTTATTATGTTTCACTCATGCATGTAGATTCATGTTTTTTTAATTCTGATGACCACCTGAAGCTCTTGGCACAAAACTTGCAATGATAAGGTTTCACTCCTGTGTGGATACGTTCATGGTCCTTGCAACCTGCTGACTTGCTAAAGCTCTTATCACAATGCTTGCACTTGTAGGGTTTCACTTCTGTGTGGATACATTCATGCCGCTTGCAATGAAATGACCGTGTAAAGCGCTTATCACAGTACTTGCACCGATATGGTTTCACCCGTGCATGTATAAGTTCATGTTGCTTACAAACTGATGAACGACTGAAGCACTTATTACAATGATTGCACTGATATGGTTTTGCAACTCCAGTGTCAATATGTTCAACTGCATCTTGCATCTTGCAAGTTGATGAATAGGGTTTCTCTGCTGTGTGGGTACTTTCATGCCGCTTGACATGTGATGATCGTGAGAAGCACTTATCACAATGCTTGCACTGATATGGTTTTACCCCTGCATGTGTAAGTTCATGTTGCTTACAATTTGATGAACGGTTGAAGAACTTACCACAATGCTTGCACTTGTATGGTTTTGCTCCTGTGTGAATACGTTCATGACTCCTGCAAGTTGATAAATCCCCAAACCATTTATCACAATACTTGCATTGATAAGGTTTTTCGCCTGTGTGAATACGTTCATGATTCTTGCAATTTGATGAATACCCAAAGTGTTTATCACAATATTTGCATTTATAAGGTTTCACTCTGGTCTGTATATGTTGATGCTGTTTTCCAGTTGATGAGTCACTAAAACACTTATTAGAATTATACTCTGGTGGCACCGGTCTGCTTACTCTGGATAATTCCTCACTTTTGGACATGGTAAGTTGTTCTCTTTTACAATATCACCTTAGAAACCTGAAATTCAAAAGTGTTACATTAGGATACATTGTATCTTAGCAGCATATTTTTAATTACAGTAACACTATAGGAACTTGTGGACAAATTGTTTAAAGATGATTTAATCCAAGAAGAATTCCACACTTTGATTGAAATTCATACTTTGCCCCAAGGATTGGGGGAATAAAACAAAATAAATTACCTTGGGATTCAGGGAGAAATAATCCAATTTTTGTCGTATTTCTACAGGCTTCGAAGCCAAGTATAACCCTTAAAACCTGGTTCACACTTGTGACATAATGATATAAGTATAATGGCATATGAAGGTGGTTATGTTGTTTGGTTTGTAGCGTAAACATGCTGACATAACAACATTATAACAGGTATCTTGAAAACAAAGACCCTTAAGACCTGCTAAAATAAGGGTAAGGGAACTGAGTGAATCAACCTTCAGGTCAGTTTGCCCAGTATAATGACTTAAATGGAACCGGATTCACTCAGTTTCCTAACCTTAATCAATAAAGTTCAGGGCCGGGTTGTTCAAAGCTGGGTTAAGATAACCCAGAGTTAGTGAAAAATTTGAATTCCCGATATGAAAGCTGAAAAGGCAAATTTAGTTTAATTCTTTTCCCCTACGATTCGATGATTCGATGCTTTAGGAAAAATGGGGAAAATTATCCGAGAAAATACTTTTGGACAACAAAAAAAGAAACCGGGATCAAAATCTAACCCTGGGTTAGCGCTAATCAGCCTTCGAACAACTGGGCCCAGAGTCATTCGGTGAGGGGTCTTAGGGGTCTTTGTTTTAAGACACTCACATTGTAACAACATCATGGGACATAACGGCATAAGGAAAAAAATGATTTTTATTGTTTCCCGATATTAGTTCTTGTGCATCGTTTATAAAAGTTTTATCTTAGGGCATATCATGTAATTTATAGTTATGTAATTGATTGGCATACTGGAAATAATTCTGAAAAACACTTGACAAGTCAACTCCTTTTTGTGCCAGCGGGAGGCAAATTTAAGGGCCTGTGGCTGGTGGACAGATTTCACCGACAATATGTTGAGTAGATTAATGAGAGGAAGCTGGAGCACTTCCTTTAGAAGGCAAAATAGAGGTAAACGCAACAAGGAGAGTCTACTGTGCCACCTTCTGTTTTTACTTCTAGTAATGTTGTTATGTTGATTATCACATAAGTACTTACGAGCCACCATACATAAGCGAGATAAGCTTTTTAATTCATTATGTCACTATGTTGTGAAGTAATTATTTTGCCAGTGTGAAACAGGCCTAGGCTTAAGATAGTAACATTGGTCCATTCTAGCACCAGTATTGCAGTAATGTAAGATCAACATTAGAGAGCTGAAGTCAAAAGTATGATTAGCAGATAACCGAGCTGTCGAGAGAGAACCATTTAGTAACTTTTCATACCCTTCTTTAAAAAAATTAGAGAAGGAGCTTGCGCCTATTTCTATAATAAAGACTCAATAAAAAATGTGTGAATGTAAAAATGTGAATGAAGTTCACGCTGGACACTTTGTCGCGTGCTCACTTAACATGTACCCGTTTGAGAAACTCCCGGGGCGTTTTCAGTAGCAATCACTTACCAGAGATATCTTATTAACAGATTCAGAGCAAATCAGTGCATTCGGTGAATCACAGGGTTCGGAAAGGCAAGCAAAAGTTAACAAACTAAACAACAACCTGTGTCCGCCATCTTGTCTGCATGCTTAGCGACCGCTCAGAAGATACCCTGCTCCCCGCGGAATGCCCTACCCCTCCCCAATGGAAGTCGCCATTATGACCGTTATCTATGATACCGATACCAGATAGTGGGGAAAGATGCGAAAGTAAAAAGCACGTTTTAATTTCGTGTTCGCGCTTTCTCAATTCAGCGGACCCGACTTCATCTCTGAGCCTGGAGCAAGCTAATGATAAAGAATCAACACTCCCAAAATTTTGCATAACCTTTATTTTTCAGTTCTCTTGGGTAATACAGCCGTCCCAAGAGAAATTGCAAACAATACTTATGCAGGGTAACAAAGGATAACACAGGGAAACAAAAAGTAACACAAGGAAACACAGGGTGACACAGGGTAAGAAAGGGTAAGAAAGGGTAACACAGGGTAACAACGGACGACACAGGGTAACACAGGGTAACAAACGGTAACAGAGGATAACAAAGGGTAACACAGGGTAACAAAGGGTAACAAAGGGTAACACAGGGTAACAAAGGATAACACGGGGTAACACAGGGTAACAAAGGGTAACAACGGATGACACAGGGTAACACAGGGTAACAAAGGGTAACACAGGGTAACAACGGACGACACAGGGTAACACAGGGTAACAAACGGTAACAGAGGATAGCAAAGGGTAACACAGGGTAAGAAAGGGTAACAAAGGGTAACACAGGGTAACAAAGGGTAACACGGGGAACACGGGGTAACAAAGGGTAACACAGGGTAATAAAGGGTAACAAAGGTAGCACAGGGTAACACAGGAGAACACAGGGTAACAAAGGTAACAAAGAGTAACAAAGGGTAGGACAGGGTAAGAAAAGGTAACACAGGGTAACAATATCAGTAACGTGATAAGTAATGACACAGCACCAAAGATATATGGGACTCAATAGATTTACATACCTTTCTCTATAACAATCACAAGAATACTCGTATTGTTTCTTGTTTTATACATCGTATTTTTTTGGAGTAAAAATCTTAAGTTACGTTTTAGCCTCGCAAACACAGCAGTAAAAATCAGGTAAAAATATTTAATTATTGAAAACTGAGGAGACTCCTGTGTTTATTTAGAGATTTTTTAAAATACAAAACTTTTGTTTCGCGCCACTGACCATATTTTATGCCTGTCAGAGCAGAAGTAAGAATTTCCTTTGAAAAACTAACTAATGAACCATCCTTATTTGAAGAATAAATTTTAATGCTATTTTGAAAAGGTGTTAAATTCGAAAAATGTGCAGCTTGTCACGTTTATAGTCAAGGATTATGTTACATGTGAATTCAAGTGGAACGATCTTCGAATATCAACGCGTGCTCACATGTAACAACACTTTCTTTTAAAAAGCTTTCTGATAGACATGCTACATACAAGCTGACCTGAAGAGTTTCTTAGCGAGTAGAACGTTCTTTGCTGACACAGTATCTTTTTTCTGCTTGTGCAATCCAACCTGACTTGCACCTGATTCGAAGTTGCACCCAATAAAAATCACACAATTTTTTTACGGGCATGTAAAATGGTTAAATAAAAGATTTCAAGTTCTTGCTCCCAAGAAAAATATGAAAGGAATGCACTGCCGAATTTATGACACTAGCTGACTACGTAATCCCGCATAAAAATGGGTTTCATTTTTAAGTTGGGACTGTTATTTCAAAAACCAATGGAATAACTTCCAAAAAGCAACCACCTACCCTAAAGAACTCCAAAAGTTTAAATGACAGTAGAACATGACAAATTTCTCAACAATCTTTCATTAATTTTATTACTGGTGCTGGCTAAACATTTCAATCCATAACTATGAAGCTTTAGTGTTGGCCCACTCTACTCTACCAATAAGAGTTGGACAAGTCAAATAACATGTTCTATTAATCTTCTTAATCTTCCTATTGATTTTTAAAGTACTGAGTACACAGCATTCATGAAAAACAGTTCTTTGTTAGGTTAGTTGTAGACAGTTTTGCATATTGCTCAGGGTAGTTAGGTTTATTTATAATTTTTTTTATACTCCAGATGAATTTTAAGTGTTTAAATGAAGAATTATTCTATTCTATTCTTATTCTATTAAAGGGGGGTGCGGGGGAGGGGGGGATCCAAACCTCCCACCTCCTGTTCCTTGCATTTCTGGCCTCCAATTGCCTTCTTGCCCCTTTTTTATGGCTTTCCCCCTTAAGCCCTTTGTCTAATAGAAAATATTAAGTATTGCTGCATAATTTCCCCATATATTTCCCCACTTTTCACCCTTTTAGAACTTGCACCTAATGCCCTTTGCTCTGCTCCTCCCATACCCCTACCACTTCCTATTCTCCTGGGCTCCTAACCCCATGTTACACTTCACTAATAACCCACAACATCCTTCTTTTACAGGTTAACATATGCTAAACTTTAAAACACCATTTTACACCTTGGTGTCAACAAAACCTAGACCAGATCAACCCGGCAAGTCACTATAATATAAGAAAAAGGTTAGATTAGGGTTAGACAGGTTTCTGTGATCCAGGTTTCACAGTGCTAGAATTTCTATAGTCTAAAATGGTGATCAAACTAACTAATGAGCCTAAAAGAAGAGCATCATTAGTTGATTTCCTTCAACACAAACTCCTTTATTTTTAAAGACTTTCTCTAAAATCATATGGATATACATCAAACAATCAAGGAATGAGTTCATTTGCTTTTGCTCCAAACTTTTTAAACAGCTTAAGGTTTTGCAACATTTTAACTGGCCTTTAAATAAACAAGTAGAAACAACTTTTGGCATGACACAATAATCTTAGTCGATAACTGCCACAACTTCTACGTGTAGGCTCCTTTACGTTGATACATTCACAGGTTCATATTTTTTGTAATCAATTTAAATTATGATGACCATGAAAGGCAATAATTATAACAATACTTTTATTCATCATGTTTAACACCTGTGTGTGTAAGTTCATGCTGCTTGCATTGTAACGACTGGCTGAAGCCTTTACCACAATACTTACACTCATAGGGCTTAATTCCTGTGTGGACATGTTCATGTTGCTTGCAATGTGATGACTTGCTAAAACTTTTATCACAATATTTGCACTTATACGGTTTTACTCCTGTATGGATGCGTTCATGCTCCTTACAATGAGATGATTGTGTAAAGCACTTATTACAATATTTGCACTGATAAGGTTTTACTCCTGTATGAGTACGTTCATGCTCCTTGCAGTGTGATGAAATACTGTAGCACTTTTCACAATATTTGCACTGATAAGGTTTCACTCCGGTGTGGGTACGTTCATGGCGCTTGCAATTTGATGACTGGGAAAAACACTTATCACAATGCTTGCACTGATAAGGTTTTACTCCTGTGTGGTTATGTTCATGCTCCTTGCAGTGTGATGAAGCACTGAAGCACTTTTCACAATACTTGCATTGATAAGGTTTCACTCCTGTATGGGTACGTTCATGCTCCTTGCAGTGTGATGACTGTGTAAAGCACTTACTACAATAGTTGCATTGGTAAGGTTTCACTCCTGTGTGGGTACGTTCATGCTCCTTGCAATGCGATGAATAACTGAAGCACTTTTCACAATATTTGCACGGATAAGGTTTCACTCCTAAGTGGATAAGTTCATGTCGCTTGCAATTTGATGACTGTGTGAAACACTTATTACAATACTTGCACTGATAAGATTTTTCTCCTGTGTGGGTATGTTCATGCTCCTTGCAATGTGACGACTGTGTAAAGCACTTATTACAATACTTGCACGGATAAGGTTTCACTCCTGTGTGGGTACGTTCATGCTGCTTGCAATTTGATGACTGGCTAAAGCACTTATTACAATACCTGCACTGATAAGGTTTCTCTCCTGTGTGGGTACGTTCATGTTCTTTGCAATGTGATGAAGCACTGAAGCACCTTTCACAGTACTTGCACTGATAAGGTTTCACTCCTGTGTGGGTACGTTCATGCTGCTTGCAATTTCCTAACAAGCTAAAGCACTTGTCACAATACTTGCATTTCATAACCTTTGGTAGCATTAAACTTGATGGCTCCTCACTTATGGACATTGTATGTTCTTATCTTTAGAACCCTGAAATTGAACATGTTTACATTTAGAATATCTTTATTTTATCTCTATTTATTATTTTTTTTATCTAGCCACATTATGATGTTACAAAACAATAAAGCAGAAGGAATTATGAGAAAAAGGCAAGAAAGCCCAAAAAAACCATGAGGCTTATGCAAAGGAGGCTTTCTCTACTAAATTACAAAGAGCACTAAAAAATAATAATTGAACAGCCAAGGCTGAGTAACACTACGTACTAATAAGGTATTAAAGAAAAAGAAAGAAAAAAAGACAAAAGACCAACGCAAAGAAAAGGAAAAAGGGAGGGAGATGAAGGAAAAGGTACAAGATAATTGATAAATATTTTTTCAGTTTGCTCTTAAAAATTGACATACTAACTTAGCTTTGAATTTCTAGACTTGTTGAGTTACAGTTGATTTCAGTGCTGTGTATATGTTGTAGTTCAATTTGCACTTTGGTACAATTTGTTTTTTTACCAGTACAGAATATATTAAACTGGTACAAAATGTTTTGTGCTGGTTCAATTTTTAATTTCATAGTCAGTTTGTTGTTAACTTACAATATTAATTTATTTTTTGGAGCACTTGTCTGCCATGAATAAGCTTTAGTTCTACTGTGGTTAGTTTTCATTGACAATCATCTGTTGCTTTCTTTTATTCAAGGTTTTCTTAATTTGAGTTCACTAGGGTCATAGATTGAGGACCGTGATATTTTTCTGGGATTGACAAAACAAAACTTTCCAGCAAATTCTTTCACATGGGCAGACTGATATTTTTATCTGTTGATTTCTTCTGCAAAACATCAAGTCTTCCTGTTATGTTTTAACCATGCAGATGCTAAGAAAGGACGAAAAAGTACCAACTACAGGAAATACAAATTTGCCTCCCTGCTAACTAAATTTGCATCACTGTTACATGTAAATTGAGGGCATTCATCAATGCCAAAATACCGAAACCTTGTCATACAGAATAAGACTAAACAATAAAACATCAGACTATTTGGCTTTTCACTGTATTGATAATATTTTGTCCATTATGAAATCGCCTACAGAAATACATTCGAACTCAGGTGTTTATGTTGCAAAGGAAAAAACAAAGGAAAAACAAAAATTAACTGAAATAAAAAATAAACTGCAACATAAAATAGGAAAGAAATCAGCTGTAAAAAACGAAGGACCTTAGTACTGACAAAAAAAAAGTCTTATGTTAGTTTTGCACTTATGGAAGGAATTGGAATTCCTAGTATTACAACCATGAACTTAATTCCTTAGTAGAAAAGTTTTTGACATATATCGAGTAACAATCCGGTTTTATATAGAAACATTATTTTAACTATTTCTGCTGCATGTAGACAAATACCATTTATCTGTAAGATGCAAAGATTCTTTAATATTGCGTTTGTATGGGCATCGTACACTTGTAGATCTTTAACGGCACATTTGTGATCAAGGGAACCCTAATGGGGAACTCGGGAAGTAAGATGATGTAAACCATATTTGCTCATACATGTTAAATAATTTGCACAGACAATAGAAAAACACGCTTGCTTAACTTAACATGTGCATGTCTGGGGAATGCAGAAAAGTTATTTAGTCTTTCAAATCATTTACCTCTAATATCTGCGGAACAGAATGAGGTGAAGAGATAAGTGCAGTCGGTCAATCACAGGTCAAGGAAAGGCCCGCAATTTTTTCCACCATCGATCCGCCATCTTGTCTGCTTTTTGCTTAGCGACCGCTCAGAAGATAGACCGCTGATGCCGCTGATTAGTGTGTCCCGCGTGTCCCGCTGTAAATTATCTCGTCCCCAGGGTCTATCCGGGTTGGCGTGGGGGGCACCCACTACAGGCTTTACGCTCAAATACCCCTCCCAGCCCCTCCCTACTTAAATGAAGCAAATAGTCAAGTGCCAAGGCTCAATTTAAGTCTAGTTGTCAATTTATTTCGCGTGAAAATTTGTTGAGTTCCTCCATCTTTAATAGGACTTCTTTTATTTAATTATGCTGTACAGTGAATGTACACATCGATTATCCGCTACTTAATGGCTCACAAGTCCAGTACCTTTGGTATGCTGACGACTCCCAACGTAATGTTTTGCTTAGGAAGGATTCTAATTTAGAGTATCAGATAGCAAACTCTAAAGTGATGGTTCACAGGTGCAGGGCTGTCAACCCCCCACTTCTTCAAATATTGAGAATTGATGGGCAGTGGGTGATAGATGACGTCATAATGCAGAGCACATGACGTCATTTTTTGCCAAAAAAAAACGCCGAAAAAGATGTTGTTTTAATTGTAACATTTGACCTAATTTACTTCCCACCAATCACATTATTGCTTATATTACAATGGCATACTGGAGTTTGTGAGGAAATGCTCAATGTTAACAGAAAAATAGCTCAAACAGCGCAAAATTTTTGAAATTTCACTGTCAGAGAGTCGAATCTACAAGAAATGACAAACTTTGGTGATTATCCGGGAGATTTCAGACTCTAATCTGGACACCGGGAGAAACGGTTTAAAATCTGAAGTCTCCTGGATTATCTGGGAGAGTTGACAGCCCTGTAGGTGCTTTAAAAAACTGAACCAGATCTCCATACATGCTAGGCTACCTCTGGACTAGGTGGAAGTTGTTGATTAGCAAACTGGGGGCGGGGGTTATTAAAGAAATTTCTACCGTTGTTAACTGGAATCATTTCCAAAAAGAAACCACCTACATGTACCCCAAATGACTCTGCCAAAAAGATATGACATGAAGAACATGACTAATAATATTAGTCATGGAAAAAGGAATTATTTCTATTTCATGTGATGCACCACAAGTTTCATTCAATAGCTATAAAGCAGGGGGTCCATGGACCCGGTCCATGAAAGTGGTTCATGGACCCGGTCCAAAGTGGGGGTCCATGAACCCCTGGTCCATGTTTTGTCCTCACCCATGACTACATGTAAAACACTTATTACAAGACTTGCACTAATAAGGTTTTACTCCTGTGTGAGAATGTTCATATGCTCCTTGCAATGTGATGAATAAGTTACTTCTCACAATATTACTTGCACAGATAATGTTTCACTCCTGTGTGGGTACATTTAAGGCACTTGCAATTTGATGACTGTGAAAAAAATTTATCACAATGCTTACACTGATAAGGTTTCACTCCTGTGTTGTCATGTACATGCTCTTAATTGCAACATGATGAATAACTCAAGCTCTTGCCACAATACTTGCACTCATACAGCATTTTTCTTGTGTTGACTAGTTCATGTTGATTGCAATCTTATGACTTATGCGAAAACGTCTTTTACAATACTTCCACTGATTAATAGGTTTCACTACTGTGTGGGTACATTCATGCTCTGCACAATGTCATGGCTGTGTAAAGCCCTTATTGCAAAAGTTACACTGATAATATTTCTCTTGTGTGTGTAAGTTCATGCTTCTTGCAATGTGATGACTGTGTGAAGCACTTATCACAAAACTTACACTGATAAGGCTTCACTCCTGTATGGGTATGTTCATGGCGCTTGCAAGATGTTAAGTACGTAAAGCACTTATTGCAATACTTGCATGGATAAAATTTCTCTCCTGTATGGGTACGTTCATGCATTGTGCAATTTGATGACTGACTAAAGCACTTATTACAATACTTGCACTGATGCGGTTTCACTCCTGTGTGGGTAAGTTCATGCTGCTTACAATTTGATGACTTTGTGAAGCATTTATCACAAAACTTGCACTGATAAGATTTTTCTCCTGTGTGGGCATGTTCATGGTCCTTGCAATGTGATAACTGTGTAAAGCACTTATTACAGTACTTGCATGTATAAGATTTCACTCCTGTATGGGTACGTTCATGCGCCGTGCAACTTGATGACTGGCGAAAGTACTTATTACAATACCTGCACTGATATGGTTTCACTCCAGTATGTATACGTTCATGCTCCTCGCAATGTGATGGATAACTGAAGCACTTATCACAATGCTTGCACTGATAAGGCTTTATCCCTGAGTGTGTACGTTCATGGCGCTTGCAATTTGATGACTTTGTGAAGCACTTATCACAATATTTGCACTGATAAGATTTTACTCCTGGACAAGTGTGGGTACGCTCATGGTACGTGCAATTTGATGACTGGCTAAAGCACTTATTACAATACTTGCACTGATACGGTTTCACTCCTGTATGTACACGCTCATGCTCCTTGCAAAGTGATGAAGTACTGAAGCACTTATTACAGTACTTGCACTGATAAGGTTTCTCTCCTGTGTGGATACGTTCATGCTGCTTGCAATATGATGACTGTGTAAAGCATTTATCGCAATGCTTGCACTGATAAGGTTTCACTCCTGTGTGGGTTTGTTCATGCTGCTTGCAATTTGCTGACAAGCTAAAGCACTTGTCACAATACTTGCATTTCATAACCTTTGGTAGCATTAGACTGCTTAATCTTGATGGCTCCTCACTTTTGGACATTGTATGTTGTTCTCTTTTAAAAAATATCACTTTAGAACCCTGAAAATGAAAATTTTTACATTTAGAAAATCTTTACTTATTTTTATTACTATTACTTTTATCTTGCCACCTTGTGATGTTACAAATAATAAAGAAGAAGGAATTATGAGAAAATGGCAAAAGACACCATGGCAAGAGACACCAGGAGGCTTATGCAAAAAGGGCGTTCTCTACTAAATTACAAAAAGCACTGAAAAATAATAGTTGAACAGCCAAGGCAGAGTAACAATATGCAGTAATAAGGTTTTAAAGAAAAAAATTGAACGAAAAAAAAAGACACAATACAAAGGCAAAAAAAGAGCAAAGCCAGGCTGATGAAGAGAAAAGAACAAGTTAAGTGAGAATATGTTTTTTCAATTTGTTCATAAAGTTGATACACTAACTGAGCTTTGAATGTCTAGGCTTATTGAGTTTAAAAACAAAGGACCTTAGTACTGACATGAAAAAAGTCTTCTATCGGTTTTGCACTTATGGAAGGAACTGGCATTTCTGGTATTATAACCAGGGGCCCGTTTCTCGAAAGTCCCGGTAACTTTACGGGCCCAAAATCAAATATTCAAATCGAAATATAAAGAATAAGAGCGCCGGTCCCGGCTGGCAAACTACTCCATTTTGTTTCATTAACTGACAGTTTTATCATGTTAGATGCAAAACTATTGAAACCTCGATCTTTAATAAAACGGAGACAGCTTACCGGGCCCGTTAATTATCGGGACTTTCGAGAAACGGGCTCCAGGAACCTGATTCCATAGTAGTAAAGTATTTTTAAATATATCTGGTAACAATCTGGTTTTATTTTGAAACAATCATTATTTCAACTATTTTATTTTGAAACAATCAATATTTTGAAACAATCATTATTTTAACTATTTATTTTTTGCTAGATATATATCATTAATTTTAACCAGATCTTATACTGGATTGCTGGCTTTCTAATGGATAGGAGACAGAGAGTTAAACTTACCCAGGATTCTTTTTTTTCTTACATAGAGAGCTAAGGCTCTAGAGCTGTCTGGACTTTCAACACTGCATGATATAAGAGAAGCAATTGGGGAAAAGTTGTTCAACAAAATATGCGCTAATTCCAAGGGGGGGAGGCAAATGGGGAAGTGCTGCTGGATGGGGTTGTATTTTCACGACTCGACTGACGCATTTTCAATAGAGCTACTAGAATGGGGTCGCACATTTTCGGATTTGGGGGGGTAGGACAGTTCTTCATACCGTTAGCAGACGTACAAGAATGTTTGTCCTGTAGGTGTATAGTAAAGTGTTCTTCTTTCAATTTAAAAAATGGGTCAATTCATTTTAGGATGACCTATTTAAAGGATTGATAAGGTAGATACTCAAACAGAAAGTGACTAAGTTGGGATAGTGAAAATTACATATCTGCCCTAAAGCGACTAAGATGGGGCCTACTGTATAATTGGTCTCAGAATAGACTATATTGGGGTAGGGGCTCTGAGAGACTAGCAGCGCATACCCAGAAAAAATTGACCCAAGTAAGATGCAAAGATTCTTAAATGTTGGGTCTGTATGAGCATCATGCATCATAACAAGAATTAAGATTTAATGGGGGACTAAAACACAAAAAATACCTTGGGATTTAGGGATGAATAATTCTGTTCTTTTGCTGTATCTTCTAAAGCCTTAGAGCCAATTATGACCTTTAATATAGGAAAACTGGTCCATTCAAGCTCCACCATGCAGTAAGATCAACATTAAAATTCCCACTGTGATATCAACGCCTTGTGCCCTTGTTAGAAACCTGGAAAATTATTAAACGACCCTGGAACTGGAACTGACATTGTACCCAGGTTTTCTCACAAATAGGTTTGATTAATTCGGCTGTCATGAACACAGATTATTCGATATTCCTTCATACTTTGCGGAATTTTTTGGCAATTTCAGGGTTTTCTGGTTCACGGTGAGATTTAGAGGCAAAACCGTGAGACCTTGACATGGCATCCCAAACCGTGAGAGTTGGAAGGTCTGCATTTTGACCATGATCCCGGGATCATGATATGACCTGTTGCACGAACACTAGGTAAACACGCTTACTTAAATTAACATGTGCCTGTCTGGGGAATTGCAGAAAAGTTATTTAGTCTTTCAAATCATTTACCTCTAATATCTGCTGAACAGAATGAGGTGAAGAGTTAAGTGCAGTCTGTCAATCACAGGTCGAGGAAAGGCCCGCAAACGAAACTAAACATTTGTTCACCATCGATCTGCCATTTTGTCTGCTGTCTGTTATGCTTAGCGACCGCTCAGAAGATACACCCCTGACTGACTTCGTCCACAGGGTCTCGCTCGGGTGCCGGGGGAGGTTCAAATACCCTTCCCAGCCCCTCCCTACTGAAAAGAAGCAAGCAGTCAAAGGGAAAAATCCATCACCCGGCCGGGAGTCTCCTGCCACAAAAGCTTAAGTCTCAAGGCTCAATTTAAGTCTTTTTAATTATTTCCCTGTGAAAATTTGCTATGTTCTTCCAAGAATCGTTTCTCTCGCTGATCCGTTTCAAGACTTCTTCTTTTTAAAAAGTGTACAGTGAATGTACACTTCGCTACCATGGGTCTCTAGTACCTTTAATATGTTGACGACTTCCAGCTTTATACACGAATTAAGAGCTTGAGATGGTGAACTCTAAAGCATTGGCTTAACACTGAACCAAAATCAGATCTTCATGCTAGGTCACCTCTAGGCTACATGGAGGTTCTTGATAAGCAAACCCGGTGGGGTACCCTAGAAAGGGAAGTCGCTATAGCTAGTCAAATTACTTACTGAACACTTAAGTGCTTATTATCGTGGTTAAAGTCGATCTGTCAAACACGTGCTTAACACGATTGATTTGAGCTAAACATGAGAAGCAGGAAGAAACTATTTCAACGATATGCTCGTGAAAAGTAAGGCTCAAGTCAAAAGTAACGCCTAGACCTTTAACCCGGGGGCTAGTGGGGAGGAGACTCCGGCGGGGATGCTCGTGGCCTCGCTTAGGAGTGTAAATTTCAGATTTTGGTCTCGCTTAGGGTGTTCTGGGCAAAACACCATTATATTTAGCCCTAAAGGTCTTTTTCAAAGAGACCTTTTACAGCTAAGTAGGGTGCACTCGAAGAAATATTAAAAAATTATATATTTTCAATTTGTTTTATTTACTCGATTCATGTAATCAAAGATTAAAATGATCGCTTTTAGGGGTCAGAAAATGTTGGGCCGCGCCCAGATTGGTCTTTTTTAGGGGTTTAATTCAAAATTTCCGACGAGCATCTCCGCCCCTTTCATATGGGAGTCTCTCCCCCCCCGCCGGGCCTTTAATTTAGATCTTCCAAAGCTTTTGCCGGTAGAATTCATTTCTTTGATGCCTGCATCATGTTTGTCTCTCAGTAATACACGCCAGGATGCACTCGAATAAGTTACTCATTACGGCTGAGCCAATCAGGAGGCAAGCGTCCCTTACCTCCTCTCCCCAACCCCCTCCCTTTTTTCGTTCCTCCTAATCCCCCTACCCCTGCTACGCAGGCTACTCCGGTATTAGTTCTTTTCCTAAAAGGGACAGATATCCGGGAGATTTTGTATCCGTGGCCGGCTTCCATAAACAATAAGCTCTCTTTTGTCAGGATTCAGTAGAAGACCAAACACCCATTTTCAGACCCAGACCTTCTTCCCATCAACACCCGCATTCTACTTGACGCGCTTTTATCGTTAATACTAATAGGAGACTGAGAGACGACCGGGAACGAGTCAAGCTTCTTGCTAGGCCACCTCTGTACAATGCGGAAGATGTTGATGAGTTCACAACAAAAAGTAAATTCAGTTTAATTCTTTTTGTCAACAAGTTGATAATTGGATGCTCTTAAAAGTAACAGAGAATATTATCTGAGAAAATGCTTTGGACCAAAAGAAAAAGAAACCCAGGTTAAATCTAACCCTGGGTTAAACGTTAATCGGCCTACGAACAACTGGGCCCAGGGTACTTGGGTGTCATCTTTTCCCTCTCTCCAAATGAAAAAATTACAGAATTACGCAAATCAGCTCAGTTTCATTTACGAATTATAAGCAGAGGTCATAAAGTAACTCAGCAATGACTCTACGGATATACATACACATGGCTTTGTGAGTACCAAGCTGGCTACGGCAATAGCTATTCCTCGACCACTTTATGGGCTACCAGTTACAGCTCAGGCAAACTGTTTAAAGACAATGCTGCCCGGAAAGGAACTATGGCTAGGACGGTCGCCTCAAAGTCTCCACTGATTGCCTATTAATTCTAGAATAATTTCAAAATTCTTTTGATGGATGATAAGATACCAAATGGTCTAGCACTTTCATTTGCATCGGACACACCCGAGTTAGAAAACCTGTTCACATTCATTAACAGAGAGTAGCTCTGACATGGGGTACTCAACAGCACGTTTTTCTTGGTAGTTGGCCTGGGTTTATTGAATACTTGAGATTAGAGGTGTATGGTTATGTGTAAAGGTTTAAAGAAATGTATACCAGGGATGTAAGGTGTGGTTAAGACATGCATAGTGATGAATAGGAGTGTATGGTGTTGTACAGGGTTTTATGGTGATGTATGGTCTTGTGTAGAGCTGTATGGTGGTGTTGAGGAGTGTACCGTGTTTAGTTAAATACATTACGATAATATATTATTATTCTTTAAAAAGAGGTTAATTTTCATTAGAAAGTGAAATAAAACCTGACTTGACTTGACCTGAGAAGGGTGAAATACAAGTTGAATGGACAAGGAAAGTACAACACAACAAGACAACGCCGATATTAAAACTGCATTTTATTACAAAATTACGTTACTTATAAGCTACAAAATAAAAATGCTATTAAGGCTGCTTAGAAAGTGCAAAACATCCCTTATATCTTTCTCTTGACAGATATCTAAAGAAAAATTTGATCACTTGTAAGGACATCCACCAAGATACAAATTACCACCCATCATCAGCGGATTAGCAAGGTACAGAGTCTGAGGGTCTCCGCCAGGTTTCTTGGAAATCAAGTTACGCACACATCCTGTATAACCTTCTGTTACTGTAACACCCTTGGCAGCTTCGCCCACTACAAAACAAAATACAATCGTTTAATAGGCAATACTGCTTGAAAAATAAGAAACTGTACATGCAACGCTAGGACTAGAAACAAGAGTCCACCCTAAAGAGGTGTCTGGCTTACAAATAAGCAAAAGAAAGAACAATGAGGACCAGATCTAGGTGACCATTTTAGGAAGGTGTCCGCCTTATACAGAGACAATGAAAATGACTGAAGAACGTAAGGGACCAATTCTAGGTGTCCATTTTAAGCAGGTGTCGGTCTTTAAAGAGAATCAATGAAAATGAATGAAAAACGAAAGGGACCAACTCTAGGTGTCCATTCCAGAGAGGTGACTGCCTCATAGAGAGTCAAAGAAAATGACTGAAAAACAGCAGGGACTAACTCTAGGTGTCCATTTTAAGGAGGTGTCGGTTTTTTAAGAGAATCAATGAAAATGAATGACAAACCAAAGGGACCAACTCTAGGTGTCCATTTTAGGGAGGTGTCTGCCTCATAGAGAGTCAGAGGATATGACAGGAGAACAGCAGGGACCAACACTAGGCCTCCGTTTTAGGGAGGTGACCGTCTCATAGAGAGTGAAAACGGAATACATTGTTCCACTTTTTGAATTAAAGGAGGCCCGGCTGCCCAGTGGTAAAGAATGTTCTACACTACAGGTTTTATTTGGAGGAGCTTACAAAAGTAGGGGCTTACTTTCAGAAATTTACAGTTTTATGTTTTTTAGGAAGATAAAAGGATTTTTCACTGTACCAGGCAGTCCTCCGACATACAGTGGATCATAGATATCAGCACTGGTCTGGGCTCCGAGTGGCACGCTTTCATAAGAAGGGTTTTCATCCACTTGTATTTGCACAATATTGTTTCTTTTCCACACTTGTATCTTATGCCACTCCCCATCACAGAATTGAAGAGGGTCGTTGACACTGTGCTGCGCTACCAGCTGGCCGCCACCGTTTTCTGCACGGAATATGATCTAAAACCATCAATAAAAACACTTAATTATTCATTCAAAATAGTTCTCAGATTCTGATAGGCTCAAATCCCCCAGCTTATTCTTCATAACCAATCATAACCCCCTATAGTTGTTCAAAATTGGGAGACGTTTGCGGTATGTGGGTAAACTGAATGACGTCAATGGTACAAGATATACAAAACGATGCTTTTCTCTATGAGCGTTTTCTTTGGCAGCAATAAACTTAATACTATCCTCTAATTGTTTTTCACTGCTTGCTGATGAAACGAATAACGGCAATTTGCAGAAATTGTTTTACAAGGCGAAACGAAAGTCATCTTGTCTCTGAATTATGACACCTAGAAGACATAATTGTCTTGAAGCTGTGACAATGTCATAAATTCTTCACATTCATCGCTTAATTTGGCAACGCAACCCTCTAATGTTCGACTTTCACAAGCTGAGCGAACTTCTGAAAACTCAGTAACAAACTAGAGTGTGTAAATGGCCCATATATAACGCACGACTTTAAAGCATCCACGCTTTCCTTCTCTGCGTGTGAGTTTTACGCCGGAAATTTCGTAGCTACTCTACCGATTGGTTGTTTTGTAGAACCTTAACGTGCGAGAAAAATGCATCAAACGACACCACAACTATCATCCCTTTAAGCCCCAATAACCAAATACACATTCAGTTAACCAAATTGATCTTATGGGTTAAGTTAAGAAAATTTGATGAAAGATGAAAGCACTTCCCCTTTGGCGATAGGCAATTTCCGAGTTTTCCCGGGCCTCTGTATCAAAACGAGGTTAAGTGCACAGCCTTTGATATGGAAATGATTTTTCATTCTTATGCAAATTAAACTCATTTTCACAAGCGAGGTTGTGCTCTTGGCCTCATTTTGAAAGTGAGGGTTTTTGGAACTCGGAAGTGGCCTATTATTATATCAATACTGATCAACATTTCTCTTGATTATGGACTGATATCTAAAGGAAAAAACTAATGTTGGTCACTCTTAACCTGTGTACAGACCCCCCTCCCCTCAGGAAAAATGAGAGGAGGGGAGGTCTGTACACAGGCTAGGTCACTCTTGGAACATTCCAAGAAACTGCCCTACTACCCCTCCCCGAAGTCATCATTTTGCCCTAAGTGTGAAGTAAGTATTAATGTTAGGTAAGGGGAGGGGTAGGTGGGCAGTTTCCCAGAAACGTATAATTGATCCGACCTTTGACGGGTTAACTTTACACCATAACTTGGACCAGTTCAAGTTGAAGGCATCACAGCGACCAAGAACGTTACTTACATTTCCTTTGGACATCTCTAGGACAATGTAGTCTCCTTTTGCATTCCAAGACGACAACAGGAGTCCAGTGTGGGATGTCAGCTTGATTTCAAGCGAGATTTCTTGTCTTTGTCCAACTGAGTATTTATCGGCTGGCAAAAAACGCAAACACGTCAGGTACAAAAAAGGAACGAAGTACCAAAACTGACAAAACTTATAAGCCCCTCCCCCCAGGTTATAGGTCCAACTACCAGTAAACAGTACATTTGATAATAACCTCCCCCCGCTACCCTAAAAAAAGCCCTCCTCTAAATGTATTAAAAGTGAGCTTAAAAAAAAAGTTGTTAAGCGACGAACGTCTACCGGAAGCGGACTTTTGGGCAATAGTCTTGCCCAAACCTTCCGCCAAATCGTCTCTAAAAGAGTAGAGACATTTAACGTTCCAAATGTGGTAGCCTCCAGGCGTATTAAAAGAGAAAAGGTCTCTTTTCCGGTTGGCATGCGTCGCTCAAAAACGCCTTTGGTTAAGATCACTAAACTGAATTCGATTACGACGTTTTGAAGCTTAATTTAAAAACAGTAAAAGCAAAAGGTTTCTCGATCAGCCCTGCTATAGCTTATTTTGAAACGCTTTTTCTTTTCCGGTTATAATCCTCCTTGGAAATACACTTCTTCCTCTCCGCCTCTCTTTTTGTATGACTTGTCCACGGAACTGACCTAAAACAGCAACGTGGCCGTAACATGACCCCATAAAACCATTCTTTTCCGCAGTGTCAATGGAATTAGGCAAATCCTCGCAGCTCGTCAAAAAGCTGAAGTCAACTCACCGACTTTGAGGTAACCTCCTCCATTTTTAAAGCTGACTCCTGATTCAGGGCTGTCGCGGTAACAGTTCTGCGCCTTATACAGGTTAGTTACTGGAGTATTGATCTTCTGGTCATCCACTGTCACGTTCTTGATGCATCCTGGGAAACTGTTTTTTGAACTAGCCTAAAGTGATTTGAGGGGTTAGTTTCTAAGGAATTGCAGTGCTGCGGTGGGCGCGGGGGTGGCGATGGGAGGGAGAAGGGGTTAGGGGAGTGAATTGTTTAGGTTAATCTACCACCCTAAAAAGAATGCAAAGCTGGCGTTTTGAGGGCTAGCAATTCTTCATAGGGAATCAAGGGATTGTAAATTAGGTATGTTGTGCTTATATATTGAACGGTGGGGCAACGTTATTGGTGGGAACATCAATAAACTACAAGCAGTCTCTCTTTTTTTTCTTAGTCCGTCTAGCGAAACGCGCAAGACATGAAAATGATCACGCGCGTGACGGACGGCACGAGACGAAAATCAGGAGAAAAAGAGAGACTGCACGCAGTCTAGAACATCAATGAAGTTCCGGAACTCATTTGGGATCACGTACAACCCCAGCCCACCGGATTAGTACCCACAAGGTGTATCGAATAAAGAGACTGCAATTCTACTGACCGGAACTCGTTTGGCGTCAAATTCCTCGGGAACCCCTCCTAAGAAGAGCCTCTCAAGTGAGTTTATGTAGGTGGGTGAGCCACTCGCTTTGCCTGAATCCACTTCTATGCCATCTACATAGAGCGTTCCATCGACTTTCTCCCTGGAAAGCCACACCTAAGAAATAAAGAGCGCTATTTAGGAGCTGATGAAACGCAAGAGGTAGCGCATGGTGGACTAGTAACGAGTTGGCCATAGGTTTAACTCTTGTTGGTAGAAATCAGACATTTTTCAAATCACCTGTGTCACTGACTGAATAATCCATATTCACAAGAGATTACTTTCTTTGTGGCCATAGAGAGTTTCTGAACTTAGAGCAAATTTGTACACGTGACAATGGCGACAATGAGGTGTGTCAAGGGTGCAAAATGTTGTAAGGTCTTCATGAGCCCAATAGAATAGGTGCATATGAATTCTGAGCCTTGTCACTCATTGCCGAGATCAATGGCTGAGGTAATGAGAAACAAGGCTCAAAATTATTTGTGTTGGTGCACTAGCAAACTAAAACAACAAAAATATTCCCGCTTGTTTACGGATTGTGCCCCAGTTACAAGTCCTAGATAACTGACGTCCCCGTGTGTGTGCGGCACGCAATTTTGTCGCTGTTGCACGTCGCTACGGTGCGACCCCTCTTGTCTGCCAACCTAGACGAAATGTTGAGCAAGTGAACATAAAGAGAAAACTCTTAAATGAGAACAACAAAGGGACAAAGTCCAGTTTCCCCATTATATAGGTGTCCATGGTTACTTACCATGGAAAATCAAATGGTTCCGCCACTCCGTTTGGGAAGCATCAGAAATTATGGGCTGTGATTTGGGGCGACGCAGTTTTTCTACTATTTTTAGCCTGTTCAGCTGATTTAGATATACTTTGTAACGGGTCGTTCTACCACCACGTCAAATTTGATAGTTTTATATTTATGCACAAGATTTCCACCCGGGTGGTTTGTGTAAATGGTAAGCACCCCATATCTACTTACGGACACTTACAGATTACGGACAGTTCTCTTAGTGCTGAAAATCTTCATGCGGCCCTACCTCTAGAATACAGACACCTCTTTTGATGTGGGCACCTCAATAATATGGTCACCGTTGTAAAATGGGCACCTCTATGAGAAAGATGCCTCTATAATGCGCACACCTCGATAATTCGAACACTTATATAATGATGATAGCTGTATAATGCGGACATTGTTTGTGACGTAAGTGTCCTTACAGAAGAACTGTTTGTTATAAAGAGGTGTCAACAGAAAGAGCTGTTTGACTGTATTGTAACACATGATAAACGAAGAACAGGACAAACAGCGGACTTCCTGTGTAACCCTTCTTTGTTCAGAGAAGAAAAATAGCGAATTAAACGCTGTTGATTAAAAAATAAATTCCGCCGTTTCGGCGAGGCCAAAAAAAATGCACGCGCACAAAGAAAGAGAGACAGAATGCGCACGTGAAAGTCACGTGAAAGGATAGTCTTGGAATCAAGTTTGTAAAATTGTGTTTCAAGCGCATCTCCTCGCGAAGTCTTTTCTCCTGCTCAGTAGATCCGCTATACTCAGCACAACTGTCATGTCTTCAAGCTGCTGCAACAAACCGCAATATTGCACGATCGTGTAACTCTTATCTTGATTACATCGAGCCCCTGACCCCGAAAATGGACCCCACGTCTACAGCCTACCTGTCTGATGTTAACCACCTAAGGGCCACCAATACACACATACACACATGTTAACCACCAATACACACTCATAAGCAGGGCCTTACTAAGGTTCCTCTCGCACCCCACATCCGATCAAAGTTGAGGTGCAAAACCTGTGCAAGATATATATAAAAGGTATTCACTTCTAACACCCAGCACTGTCCAGACGGGAGGGGGACAAACTTGAATTGGATTTTCCATACATGAAACGTTAAGTGCTAATGTTAGGTTAGGGGAGGGGTAGGTGGTCAGTTACCCAGAAACCTCAACTGATCCATGATGTGTTGTGGTACGTATTGTAGTACATACCGTGTGCCACTTTCCATCGCTGTAGGTCGCGGCCGGGGTAATAAGCTTCAAGGTGCCTCTTCCCGCACTGAAGCTACAGGCGACTTTACTCCCTTCTAAATGACATTCTAAGAAGTCAGTCTGCGATGGTTCATTGGCGGTGTATAACATGATGCCATTTGGGTTGGAGGCACGGAAACTGAATTTCAATTCTGTCCTGCAAAAATTAGCAAATGAACACGTACAATCGAATTTAATGCATTTAAATGCAATTTAAACGAGTTAAACTAAGAACATCCTCAGCGCCAGAGGTTCGCGGTCTTTTGGCATGCGCATGCCCAGTAGCTCGTTACCTTGATCATACGAGTAATCAGTTGCGTAAAGAGTTACCTTCGTGCTGTTTGTCTATGCCACGACGTTCTTTCAGCCATTTTCTTCGATCGTTCATTTTTTTGGAGTATTAGTTGAAGCTCTCCAAACAGACGATCTATTAAGCGGAGAGCCCTTCTTACAGACGCCTCGATATCCCGGTTTGAGCCCTCAGTTGGAATTTTTCCTCTACCTCAAGTCCACAAATAAACTAAGTAAAATGAGACGGATAACACGTTTGTTTTGAGGCTAGAGAACTACATTGGTATTAGCTGTGCGGTGGCGGGAACAGCCTGGAATAAATGTTGACTAACATAATCAAATAATTCGTTGGCTTCTGCCGTTCCTTAGAACACAATCGGAAAATGTTGGCGAGTTATGCGGTCTTACGTTGTACAATTATAATCGTCGATTATAATTGTACAACGTAAGACGTCTTATAATTTTCTGGCCCGCATGTAGAAGTTTTTAATCTAGGCAGGCCAGGTCGAAATATATGAAAGGAATTGCGAACTATTTTAAATTTTGATAATTCTTCAGTACGTAAGGCTCGAGCTTGGTTTTCCTTCCTCAGTTTACTCATCGTAGTTACATTCGTTTTTCCCTCGAATATTGTTAGCCTATCGACATTCCCGTCACACATTTCTTATCAACTTTGAATATAGTAACGGCCACACAGTTTGTAAGGATCCCCTGTGATAATTCTTGTCAAAGCAGGACAAGCTTAATGTCAGTTTACCTACAGTTGGTAGTTATATATGATGGAAAGTGAAACTCTCTTCAAGTACTTGTCATGAAAATTAGCAGGGTCGCAGTCCTTTTTATGGAAGAACCACCCAATGATTCTCAAAGGAAAAGCCTTAATGTTATAGGGACATGCGTACTAGTGCACAGTACAATTAGAAATCAATAGAGGTACTTTAAACATGTGAAATTAAACATGTGATAGAGTCTTGAGTTTGCGAGGGAAAACCGGAAATTGAAATCGGAAAATCGAATTTTTCGTCCGAAAAACTTTCCGAAAAAAATCGGTTCTCGATTTAGCCTGTTTGTTAATTCTAATCAGCTACAAAGTGTAGTCAAATCAACTGCTATTTCTTTAATCGAAACATCAGAACTTTTGACGCTCAATTTTCAATCGGGAGGTTTGAGCAAAAGTAAACATCACTGGTCTCGAACTAGATACAACTTACTTGGACGAAATCAACTTGAAGAGCGTCGAGGGTCTTCTGATCCTGTAGAGCGCATGACTATTAAGGTCGAGGCCAAATCCTAAAACGTCTTCGAGCTCAGCTGGATCGTCTGGCATGGGGCATGTCGGCAATGGGGTGGTCATAGGTTCGGAGGTTGTTGTTGGGACAGGAGTGGTAGTAGGCTCCGAAGTAGTTGTGGGGGGAGGGGTGGTAGTAGGCTCCCTGGTAGTTGTGGGAGGAGGGGTAGTAGTAGGCTCCGGAGTAGTTGTGGGGGGTGGGGTACTAGTAGTCTCCGAGGTAGTCGTAGGCGGTGGAGTAGTAGTAGCCTCCGACGTAGTCTTAAGGGGTGGGGTGGTGATGGGTTCAGAGGTAGTTGTGGGGGCAGATGTAGTCACAGGCTCAGATGTTGTTGTCGGGGGAAGCGTAGTGGATTCCTCAGTTGTGCTAGGTGGTTTGGTAGTCTCGGAAGGAGTACTTGGTGCTGGACTTGTTGTGGAGGAACCTGAAAAAAAAAACATTCTAGTCCTGTCTCAGCCACTAACGGTAAGCAAAACTAGAGATGCGTTCATGAGCAACGCATCTCAAACTGGAGGTAATCATCATCAGTGGCTTTGCCCAAAAGTTTCGGGCAAAACGTTTCTTTAAGAAAAGAGACACCTATCGGGTGACGTTAAATAATTTCTTTGCTTAAGAGTAATCTTCGTCATCTCCATACATCAGTTCAAAAGGTATTTTTCCACGGTGTTCTTCCCATTCGCCATGCCCGCGGTCTTCTGATCCAACGCAGTTCATTCTACCACCTGAGTGCATTACCCAGCCTTCTCCGGAGCCGGAATACCCTGCGTAGATTTCTGGAAAGGAAACCAAATATGATCTGCTTCAATATCGCCACGACTAACTCTTATCTTTGGCAACTTAAGTTCAAAGCTTTTGAATTAAGGACACCATTAAAGTTAGAATGCAGTCAATTGCCATGATATTGACTTTTTAAAGGTTAGGAATTAACCATACATTGCCACGATTCACCAAATTACCTCCTGACATCCATTGAAAAGAGGGTTTTTTGACTTTGATTATAAAGTTATAATAGATTTTGATTAAGCTTTGCTTAGTACTGATCTATCACAAAGTTTTGAGAATACTGTGATGAAATAAAGTTGATTAAGTAATTAAAAGATAGATCGATCGATTGATTGATTGATTGATTGAAATATTTTTTTTTCTTCAAAGGCCCCTGAAACTGTTTTGAAGCAAAAAAGGTGATTATTTTTTCTACTGATCTTGAGCCGGATATTTTAGTTATTCTGAAGTGTACCCCGGTCTGCTCCAGGCCTCCTCTTTTCTCGCTATCGTTTCTATTGCTTGTACACTTCATAGGCCGTGTTCACACTACAGTATACCGGATAGATTGTCATGCCGACACGATAAGCTATCAAGTATCTGAGTATAAACACTTATCAGATGCGCGGTGACTTTTGAATTCAGAGATGGACGCAGCGAGCGGCTTCGTTCCGTACAGAAATCGCACAGAAAAGTCCATTTGTGTGAACAGTAGCCCAGCTATCCGGAATAGTCTGAACATAGCCTTAGTGTTGTAAGCACTTACCGTTTTCCGGACATTTTCTTTTCCTGCATAGTTTTATATCCACTCCTTCGTTTTTATCGCACTCTCGGTCACCATTCTGAGGTTTGGGCGAGTCACATTTTCGCGTACGTGACTTCATTCCAATTCCACAAGTCCTGTTGCAATCTGTCCAGTCACTCCACCTACCCCATCCTCCGTCCACTATGCATTAATTGCAATTTAACGTAAACTGAAAGGATCTTCTCTCCATTTATTTTTGACATATCTGTGTGATGCTAGGTTTTATTTCGACATACATGTACACTAATTAAATATTCCTACAGAAAAACGTCTAGCTCCCACCTGGTGCAGAGCATCCTTTCAATCCAAGTCTGAGACATGCAACATTCTTTAATCTAGTCTGTTTGTAAACTGAAAAGGTTTTTTTCGGGTATATTCGAATAATAGTTGTCACAATTGGCGGGTCCAAAGGGTTGATCTTTAATCTCTGTCTTGATTGGTTTCCATCAAAATCCTGCACATAAATAATTATCATTACTATTAATATCATTATTAATTTTGTTTTGTTTATTTCTTTAAAAACCAAAGCCTTAGCTGAAGTATATGTTGTAGTTAATTTTTTATCCCAGGTAATTTTTATTTTTCTTTTGTTTAAATTTCATTAGCATACATTAACATACCCAAAAACAAAATAAAAATAAAAATTACCTGAGATAAAAAATTAACTAAAGGAACTTTGAGATTTTGCGCGAAATCTAAAGCCGAGACCTTTTGCAATAGTTGACCACGTGATCAACTCTCTGAAAACACGTTAATAATTCTTTCTACAAAGAAGTTTTAAATTTAGAGTTGCTATGCTTTGGAAATGCTCTGTAATAAAGCAAAGCTCGCTATGTCAATCTCTTCATTTGTAAATGTTATTAGATTATAGCCGGGTCTTGCCAAGCTGCGTATGGTAATAGTAGTTAACTTTTTATATGACTTTCTGTAATAGCAGTAGTAGTAGTAGTAGCAGTAGTAAAAAAAAAATAGTATTAGTTTAGTAATTTAATATACGGTTTCTAAATGTGGCAACACGCCCTTCATAGAAGCCAGCCAAGTGATGTTGGGGCTAGCGTGTTTCTCCTGTAAAATGAATTTGTTAAATAAAGTATTACCTTCCTACCTAGAGCATCAGTATAAAAATTTGGTAACCTACAAATTTAAAGCCGTACCAATGGGATCTCGAAAGTAGCGATTGCCCCGCAATACGTAAAGCAAAGATTTTACGACAGTTGGAAAAGTTAGCCAACACACTTTTCCAAAGAGAATTGTCCTCAGTGTTGGTATTGCAAATAGGCTTATTTTCTTCATATCTGTAAAGACTGAAAAAAAAAATGCAAAGCAAAAATAACTAAGATTCAGATTCCAGTTTTTTATCATAGCTTTTCACTCTACACAAATTTTATACAGTACAACAACCAAAAATGGAGGAGAAAACACTTATTTTCAAAGAGCGTTTTACATGACGTCACACATGCCATGTTAGTGTGGCGAACCAACATGCGCAAGTTGAACTCTTTTCTTGTTATGGCTTTCTTCTTTACCATTGAACTGGTAAAGCCGCTGGTCACGTGAATTAAAAACCTCTCATGTTATCATACCTGAGTCCCATCTTTTTTAACATAAGTATTCCATTTTCCTTCCTTGTAATATTTGACGCGAAATTGTGTAACCCATCTCGCTAAGTTTCGGCTACCCTGGGTGACGATTTCTGTTATTTTCTTATCTTCGTTTAATTCTATTTGTAGAAATGGTGACAAGTCATTCGAAGCCGAGCACCAGGCGTTCTTTCCATCCTGTCTTGCAAAGGAAGCAATTGTGTTTTTATTCAAGCTTGAGGACGCAGTAATCTTTTTATCTGGGACTTTATTTCCAAGGTCTGAAACACAGGCACCTTTAAAAGTAAAAATAATAATTAATACATGGGTCGCACTTGGCAAAGTTTTGGAAAAATTTGTTTACCTTGCGGTAGAAATCTGTCATCAGGAGACATTGCCAAGTGCGACCCCAAGTTTTCCGGTTGGAAAAAAACTTTGCGAAACAGAAAAACATCAAAGATGCCGAAGTGCTTGGGTGGGGCAGGCAGATTTTGGAAAACTCGAGCTAAACAATAGGAATCACGGCGGTAAGTGTCAGCACTTGTCAGCGAAACGTGACCAATTTGAAACACGATCAATTTGAATCAATCGTTGAAATTTTCTGACCTTCGCGTTTTCGTTGTGGACGGACGAGGCTACCACTAATTTTCGCCATTTTAACGTTTTTGCGAAAACTTTCTACGGGCGAGTAATTCATAAGCTTGTAATCCTTCGCTATTTCAACGTTTTTACGGGAACTCTCTACAGGCGAGCCAATTATAGTCTACCCAGGCACCGTCACAGGTTTGTTATTCTGCGAGCTAAATAGAGTCTTTGCAGCCAAGCACTTTATTTTCTTTATTTCTCCCATCCTCCTGAAACTGGGAAAGGAGGAAAACGATCCTACGCCAAATGATCGGACTGCGAAGAGATAATGTTCTCTGGTATCTGGCCTACTTTAGTTCTCAATGTGTCAAAACAACGACAATTAACTCCCACTAGTAAATACTAGTGCGACCCTTCTCGATTTGACTAAAAGTTTTCTTTTCCGGTTGCGGTTTCGAATTTTTGTGGTTTTTTAGCCGGCAAAGATGAAAACTTTTCCCAAGTGCGACCTATGCCTAAGTCGGTAAGGGTCTGGAGACTTCAGTGAAACGATTTTTATGAGAGTTCTGAAGCCATATTTACCAACACTTTAACTTTGTCGTCATTACGTCGTCAAGTGTTCATCAAACAAAAAGATATGTTTCATGATAAGTTTTTATTAGCTTTTTAAATATGGACATTAGCTCATGTAAAAGGCCTTTGCGGTGAATATCAAGTCTTCTTCGTATGGTTGTGCAATCCATTTGTTTATATATTTGCTTATTTATTTATTCCTGTTATTTTCAACTGTTATTGACGTAGATACTGAGAGTTGAACACTTTTTTGGACAGCAACATAACCGAGGAAGTAGATTCTATCTAGGCTGAACAAATCATTATTAATGATTAATTGAATATTTGAAAATAAAAAATTTATCGCTGTTCCCTCTTGTGTTCCCTTTTTTTCAAAAGTAAAAGGAATGGATGCAGCTGGTCCAGATGACAAAGGATAACCCGCTAAATTGCGTGAGGGGCCCTAAAGGATTTACATTTAAACATTTTTAGACAAAACTGGAATGTTTGTTATGTAACATCTGTTTTTATGGTGGCAAACAATGGTTCATTTAGCATCACATGTGGCAGCAGCGTAACGACCAGGTGATGAGGTCAGACCGAGGAAAACTGAATCAGGACTTGGTTTCAATAGGAATTTTTTTCTTAGAACTTCCTGTTTTTATTTATTACACATATTAAGCTGGTAGGAGGTAGAACTAGCAAATGCAGATTTTTTTGTCTCTTTCAAATAAACTGTTTTTCCGTTGTTCTGTATCTTAAACACGGTGATCACAGCCAG